ACAAGCCATGTAGCAGGTACTATTCTGAATACAAAATTAAGTATTAATCCTCCCCATGACCCTAACGTTACTGTCGTCATTCCCATTTATAGATGATAAATGGTGGCAGAGGAAGGTTAAGGAACTTGCCCAAGGTTGCACACTATGGAGCGATGAAACCAGGGTTGGGATCCAGGCACTGCTGCTCCAGGGAGGTTGCTCCTAAGTGTAAATCACCTGGTTTCATCTTCTGGATAACTAACTCTGTCATGGTGATCTTATTCCCAAACTTCAGAAACAAGAAAGCCTCAGAAGTTTGACCTAACTTTTCCAAGATTCCACAGCAGGAAGTAGTAGAGCTGGAATTCAAACCCAGGTCTAGTCTGACTGCAAACCTTTGATCCTTCTACTCAACAGGGGGTCTGCAGACCACAGACTGCTGACCAAATCCAGCTCACCATTGGTTTTGTAAATAAAGCTGCTTTCATGCTACAACAGCAGAGTTGAGCAGTTGTGACCGAGACCTTTATAGACAAAGTCTGCCAAGCCCTGCACTAAACCTAAGGGATGAACAAAAGACAGCAAGTTCCACCCCTGCCAATCAATGCCTGCCCAACAAAGTAGCCATTCACACCTTAGTATGAATTAGTCCATCAGCTCTGTGACAGCTCCCTGAGAGTATCTCATAGTCAAAAACAGAAAGGACTTTAGAGAATCTCCTAATCCATGGGAAAGCCAAGGCTTAATGGTAACTTGTCCAATATAACTCAATCATAACATCAGAGTAGCTGGTCTGGGCACTGGAGGTCCAAAACTTTTCTACAGCCTTGACCTCTAACAGCATTTACCCATCCAGAATTTCTTGGACTGTCCTGTTAGGGGCCATTTGACAAAGTGATATTTCCAAGCCCCTGCAACAAGCTCCGACTAGATGACCAACTTCTCATAGCCACGCTGTCTTTTCCTACAGCTCTAAGGTACCTGTCAGGACTTGCTTGATCCCTAACCCAACCTTACTTCCAGAGGGCACCAACATAAAGAGGAGAGCATTGATCCAGGGATGAGGGGACCTGGCTTCGTCCTTCAATTGCTGAGCAACGTTAGGTGGGTCACTTCTCAACTCCAACCCTCAGTGTTCTCATCTTTCCAGTGGGCACATTGTTCCTGTTGCTGCCTACCTAGCAGGGTCATAGTCTGGAAAACAGCTGAGGTATTTGATGTCAGATGGACTGACATAAAAAGTCAATATAATGTGGGTGACGGAGATTCACAAATTGGCACTGTTGTCACCCTCATTTAGTTTGGGGTGAAGAGAAGAGACTGACACCATGAATCATCAGAAGTGAGAGGCCTCCACAGGTAATATGTAGCCGTGGGTCTTCAGCATTTGAGAATCTGATGAACACATGGATCTTCTCCCCAGAAAAGTGGACATGAACTCGTCCAAACAAAAATTTGCATTTAATTTCAGAAGGTTCTAAAAATTTTGAAGCCCATCTATGAACGCTTAGTTTTGATGACTTCGGATCCATTGTACAGATGAAGAAATTGAGGCCTATAGAGAGACTACACATACCAGTGTCTTTTGGAAGGAGATGAAAGTGAAGCTATATAATCTCCAAAAGTAGGACAGGGTGTAATTCAATTTGGAAAAATTCAAAAGCCCACCTGGTCCCTAAAGTGAGGCTCATCTGTGTTTCTCTGGCTTCTCCTACAACCTTGTCAGCCTAGAGGACAGGGTGGCAGCCTGGGTTGCCAGATCCCCCATATTCCCAGAAGAGCTGCCCTTTCCCCTGTGGGCCAGCCTCCCTCCCCTTCTCCACAGGGCCACTTACTCACTCAACGTCAGTGTGCACAGGAGAATGCTGGAAACATAACTGCCTTTTGTTTAATTCACTATAATAAACCCTAACTCCAATTCTAGGTTGAAACAAAATGATCAGTGTGATAATACCCTCTCTGGGTTGTCTGCTCAACTCCAATTGGACAGGCCAAACCACTCCCTACACCAGGACCTTTGGCATAAATATATTTGCATCTCCCAAAGCTGCTGTACAAGACCGGGCTTATGACTATCCAAAGAGTCCCAGGAGCTCCAAATAGAAGGGACCTTAGAGGTTATGCAACCTCCCTCCCCTATCCCTAGCTGGCATTCAGTCGCCTCTACCACCTCCCAGAGAGACATTGCGTGCTATCTGCTTGCATATCTCCAGTGCTGGGGAGCTCAGCACTTCCAGCAACAGCCCATTCTCTGTTCTAGTCTGATCTTCTTGCAAGCTATCTCCTTGGGCTTCCTACTACTGGCCCCAATTCAGTCCTTGGGCCCACCACCCAGTCCCTGACAGCCTTTACATATCTGAAGACATTGTCTGAATTGTTTTTTCTTTTAATTTTTATTTTGTCAATATACAATGTAGTTAGTTATTGTGTCCCATCACCAAAACNACGGAGATTCACAAATTGGCACTGTTGTCACCCTCATTTAGTTTGGGGTGAAGAGAAGAGAATGACACCATGAATCATCAGAAGTGAGAGGCCTCCACAGGTAATATGTAGCCGTGGGTCTTAAGCATTTGAGAATCTGATGAACACATGGATCCTCTCCCCAGAAAAGTGGACATGAACTCGTCCAAACAAAAATTTGCATTTAATTTCAGAAGGTTCTAAAAATTTTTGAAGCCCATCTATGAACGCTTAGTTTTGATGACTCCTGATCCATTGTACAGATGAACAAATTGAGGCCTATAGAGAGACTACACATACAAGTGCCTTTTGGAAGGAGATAAAAGTAAAGCTACATAATCTCCAAAAGTAGGACTGGGTGTAATTCAATCTGGAAAAAAGCCCACCTGGTGCCTAAAGTGAGGTTCATCTGTGTTTCTCCGGCTTCTCCTACCACCTTTGTCAGCCCAGAGGATGGGTAGCAGCCTGTGTTGCCAGATCCCCCATACCCACAGAACAGCTGCCCTTTCCCCTGTGGCCAGCCTCCCTCCCCTTCTCCACAGGGCCACTTACTCACTCAACATCAGCATGGGGCCGGCCCCGTGGCTCACTCGGGAGAGTGTGGCGCTGGGAGCACTGAGGCCGCGGGTTCAGATCCTATATATGGGTGGCCGGTGTGCTCACTGGCTGAGTATGGCACAGAGCACACCATGCCAAGGGTTGCAATCCCCTTACTGGTCAAAAAAAAAACCATCAGCATGCACCAGGAGAATGCTGGAAACATAGCTGGCTTTTGTTTGATTCACTATAATAAACCCTAAATCCAATTCTAGGTTGAAACAAAATGATCAGTGTGATAATACCCTCTCTGGGTTGTCTGCTCAACTCTGATTGAACAGGCCAAATCACTCCCTACCCCAGGATCTTTGACATAAATATATTTGCATCTCTCAAAGCTGCTGTGCAAGACCGGGCTCACGACTATCCAAAAAGAGTCCCAGGAGCTCCAAATAGAAGGGACCTCAGAGGTTATGCAACCTCCCTCCCCTATCCCTACCTGACCCTGAGTCCCCTCTAACACCTCCCAGAGAGACATTGCGTGCTATCTGCTTGCATATCTCCAGTGCTGGGGATCTCAGCACTTCCAGCAACAGCCCATTCTCTGTTCTAGTCTAATCTTGCAAGCTATCTCCTTGGGCTTCCTACTACTGGCCCCAATTCAGTCCTTGGGCCCACCACCCAGTCCCTGACAGCCTTTACATATCTGAAGATATTGTCTGAATTGTTATTTGACATTTCCTTTATATTGGTGTCACCATCTACTTGCTGATTTACATTAAAAATAATTACATGTAAGTTCATATCTTCTCCACAATAACAACACTCAGCTCTAAGGGCCTAAGTGTGACAGTATCCCTCTCCCACAGATGCACTAAATTGTGCATTCAATTCAATCCAACTGGAGGTTCTGATTCTCTTGAAATATAGTCCTAGAAATGAAAAAAATAAAACTAAACTAAATAGCTGAAACTGGTGTCACTTGATATCCACTTTTTATTTAAACAAAAATGTGTCAATTTCAGAGCTAGGATTACAGATTTAACCCCCTTCAGTCTCCTGCTCCATAGGTCTTAAAAAGAGTTACTCATATTTGGGTGAAAGATGAGCCACTATGACCAGAAACTCTTCTTTACTAGCTGGAAGTTGATCATAGACAAACCTACTTCCTTACATAATTCATAGCATTTTAACTTCATGGCTGAAAGCATTCGGAACTCCATTACCAGGTACATAGCACAGGAAATACCCTTTATTATTCTATACACTTATTTTTCCATGAAGAGCACAACTTTTAAAATAAATCCAAACAAGACATAGAAATTTGCATGACATTGGAACAGTCCATGACACAGAGAGGACACTACTGAAACAGTCCTTTTTTACACAGAAGCAGAGAGACAGAAGGACGAGGGCAGGGACCCGAAAAGCAACTTCACATTCACCAATGTTTGGTGGCTTCTGTGACTGCAGCAACAACTATGCACCTACCCGCAGAGCTATGGATCCTGGGACTTACAAGGGCATGACAATCAGTTACCCTCCAATTCCTCAGAACAAACCGGTTGGATTATTATTATTTCTTAATACCAAATTTTTCTGGTATCGGCTGAAGAAATATCTAAGAGGAACTGCTGAATGTCCAGAAAAATCCAATTTTGGAGGCCAGAAACCTGATATTTCTCTGTTCAATGAGTCATTTTCGTTTTGGAAAATCCTACAGTAAGTGATGTGCTTCCTTCATTGTAAATTTAGCACAAGAACATCATCATGCAGACATATTGTTTTTCTTTAAATGGATGGAACATTTCCTTATCTGATCCAACCCCTGATTTTACTGACAAAGGAACTTGAAGCCCAGAGAGGTGAAGCCACCCTCCCCAGGTCACTCAGCTACTCAGCTGCACATGCAGGTCCGTGAAACTCTAAATGCTGTGCTGTTTCCACCACATTACACACCCTCTCTGTTCTTCTCCTTTCTGTGGCTTTCAAAGGAAATAAACAATTAAAGTGAGTTCAGTGGGCTTCTCTACTATGAAATGACTTCTTTGGTAAGAATGCTCCAGCCTCACATTACCAAGGCTGGAAAACAGATCATATGGTGAGAGACTGGCTCCCTCTCGGGCGGGAACTCCCTCTGAGAGTTAAGGCAGCTTTGGGGACTTTTGTTCAGCAGCATATTTGGCAAGAGTTGGTCTTTCCCCTTCTTCCTTGTCTCATTTGCATATAGATGAAGACTAACAGGTGGGTCCTAAATAACTAGACACTGAGTAAATGTCCATGTGATGGTCTTAAACAGATATCTTACATTTCATGGAAAATAATAATTCTTTAAAATCCTGGTAAAATATCAAAAGTGTCAAGTGTCATATACAGTACACAGGAGCACCCTTGTCCTGGGTGACCTCTGCAATTAAAAAAAGGCCACAAAAAAGAACTCAAACATTACTTATGAGAGAGCACATAATCTCTCTCCATTAAGCATTAGTGGAAAGGTGAACCCACGTGGTCTCCCCACACCTCTACGAGAATTCCTACAGCTTTTTGGGTATCCCCATCCTCCCAAGTGACCTGTGCTTGGAACCAGGTTCCCCTGCACCCCGGACTTGGGAGCCAACTTCCACCACAAGGCAGCACCATCGCATTGGTTTGGTGTTGGTTCAGCTAGCACCACATCTCAGATCCCCCTGGGAAAAATGTCTGACTACAGAAGGGCCATACGCTGATGGCCAAAAGAAAATTGCAGGCTCTCTCTGAAGTGTGCCCCTGTTTTAACACATACAGGCTTTGCTGACTGCTTGCTCTCATTTCAGCCAAATAGACTCGGCTTTTCACATCCTACTGTTCCAAAGAGTGATTATTTTCATCAAAAGAGAGTAGCTAAATAATTTCCTCTCTGGCAACCAGTTAGATGAGAATAAGTGACATCCTCTCACCTCTTCCCTTCTTCCAACACATTGTTCTTTTGCTAAAAAATACTTCTTTGCCACTTGAACGGATTTTCATTTTTTAATAACAGCCCTCGGTGGGGTGAACTATGTTGTGCAGGGAATTTCAAACTGCTCTGGGCTGAGAGTCAAGGGATGTGAATCGAGGGTTCCACTCAATCCCTTAGGAGCTGAGAAACCTTGAGCAAGAGTGACTGAAATGCTGGACCTTGGTTTTGTCACCTGGGAAATGGGGAGATAGAAGCCAGCCTTACAGTCTTCACTGGGCAGATGGGAGGCAAAAAAAGTGACACCTTGGGGGAATTACCTTTCATGGGAGGATTCAAAGTCACTAATGGACCAAGACCCCCTCCTGATTGTTTTCCAATCCACTGGAGGTTCTCAGGCCTAACCTTTCATAAAGGTCCAAGACGCCTTGCCACTTGGGCCTTCTCAGGCTTTGAATGGCATCCTGGTTTCAGGTAAAGCACCTTCTCAATGTGTCTCTCTACACTCCTAAGAGTAAGTGAAGTGGCCTCTTTTTATTTTTTCTTTGGCCAGAGATTCTGCAGCAGGGGCTCCTACAGTCAGAATAAGGTTTCCAATGAGGGTGTAAGAGACATCATAAGCAGAAATCCCAAATAAATGCCACCAAGTTACCAAACCATGAATCATTTCTTACTGAACTGAAACTAACCACCACCATCACCACCAGAGGGCACCACTTGTGAGTTTGTATCAAAAGTAAACCTAGAAATTCTCTAAACCCACCAACCACCTCCTAAAAATATTCTCCCCTCAACTTGAGTGACTGGGTTGCTCTGTTCTTGGTCCCACCTTACCCTCCAAGGTGCCAAGTCTAGCCCATGAAGAGAGACAAAGACAGTATTCAGGGCAACTCTCCATTGCTCCATTGCCTAAGACCTTTGGTCTGTGCTGGGTGTGATTCCCAGAAGAAAGCTTTACAGGTGTCCGTGAAAAACAATTAAGACGACAGCTGGTCAGGCTGCTGTTGGGCACCCACCGGGCCCATAAGGACAGCAGAGAATCCCATATGGAGACACATCTGGCTTTGCTGGGTCCCTGTCCCAAGTTCCCCAGGAAGATCTTAGGAACCACAGGTGGGTTTCTGGGCCCCCAGTGCCTGACAGCAAGACCAGCACATGGCCTCGGTAGACACGACTCACATCGTGGCCTCTACCAGTTTGTCTGGTCCGGGAACCTCTGCAGAACCTGCTCACTGTGACTCATCTACGCTCTTCCTCTTGACACCATGGCTCTAGACCTTCTGACCACCAGAAGCCAGAGGAATGTCCCAGAACACACACAAGTCAAACTCAGATTATTCAGAATGAAAATTAAGAAGGTTTCTGCTAGACATCTCCTGAACCACCTATCCATGAACTTCATTTTAGGAACAAATTAATCCAAACTACCAGACCAAGGTTCAGACACCAGAGCACCTACTGGTGTGGGCAAGAGAGGGAAGATCTATGCACCCCCACCCCAAACTCAGCTGGGCTTTTGTTTGTTTTTTGGGTTTTTTGGTGTCTGTCTAAAACCCTACCCTCGTTCTGATTTGGTGGACTGAGAATTTCTTCTGTGGCTCAAAGTATAAACAAACGTCGTGGGGAGTTCTGCTCGAGACATGGACCTCAGCCTGGGTGGACTCCCAAAGTGGGAGAGACTTCCCCCAAACAAAAGGGGTTCAACAGAAGTCATTTTTCCTGTTCTCTCCTCTCCTCCTCTTCCTCGAGGCTTACCAACCATCCGCTCAGAGCTCCCAGGCCAGATGAACAGAAGGTGAACAAAAACCAGAGTCACTAAATTAATTGTAACTGGGAAAAGAGGAAGAGGGGGTCAGAAAGGACATTGTCCAGGAGAGGAATCCCAAGACAGTGTCCGGGGTGGGAGCGAAGCAGATGCCTTTGGCCTGGACGTTGGTGCGGTGGAGTTCCTCCGCCTTGAGGGCCAGGTTCAGATAGCCAACCAGTGTTGCAACTGCAGAAAAAGACGGGCAGGACTTTATGACAGGGCCAGGGGTGGGTGGGACCAGGAGGAGCTGGGGCCAGCTGAGCAGCATAGCAAGAAGCAAAGGGAGGCAGAAAGGACAAAGACCTTGGAGAACATGCAGGTTGATTCCCTAATTGTCACTGAGGCCCAGAAAGAGCAAAGGAGCATCCCAAAGTCATAGAGCAGGTCTGAAGCAAGGGCCTCCTGGGGAACCTCCCCATCCCCAATCCTGATGTTTTTAAGGGGAATAGGTAGGACCTAGGCCAATAGGTTACTGATGTACCTGCAACTCTTCCTTCAATTTAAATTCTCAGCCTAGTTTGGTGACACTCCATGGCGACGACTCATAGAGGCAGAACAGAGTTGCAGGAAAGTCTGGGCACTTGGCTTCCCAGGACCAAGGAGCAGAGGGGCAGATGGGGGCTGGTTGAAAGCAGAGGACAGGCCCCTCTCCTCTTCCCAACCCAACACCACAGCCCCATGGTCTACAGGCCATAGCTGCTCTGGGTTTTCTGGCTGTGTGGTCCTGCCTCCTGGGGTGGGGGTGGGGCGGTGGCACACAGCAGGGAGCATCTAGGGCCCGTCCCCAAGATCCCCGCCCCAGTCATCCAGGCAGCATCTACCTGGAACTGCCTGACATCCCTCTGGGCCACCAGGTGGTGCTCGTTCTCCGGCGTGATGCCATAAGCCAGTCTCTGTGAGAGGATGGAGAAGGGGAGGAGGCCTCAGCTTGGCCCAGGGACACCCTCCTAGCAGCCCAGCTGATAGCTCCAGGTGAGGGCCACCTGCTATTTGGCCCTAAAACCCCACATGGACTGTGGCGAAGTCCATATGAGACACCCCCATCCTTGCTTGTGAAGCCGGTCTATTCACTTTGAGTCATTCATCCAGTGAATGTTCACTGAGCCACCTACTGTGGAGACACTGGGGAGGGCCCTGAAGATCCAGAGTGAAGAAAACCCATGTGGTCCCTGCTTTGGGGGAGCTCACAGCTCCCGTGGGGAAATGGCATTGAAGCAACACACACACAGGTCATCTTAAACTAAGATTGCAGCAAGTGTTGCAGGGACAACAGGAAGGGGGGCCCCTGTGTGAGACTAGAGAGGGCCTCCTGGGGTGCAGACACATGCAGGGACTTGGCATGTGTCCTTAATCAGTGACTGACCACCAGGTAGTGGGAAGACTTCCCCACTCCCAAAGTGCAAAGAATAAAAAGCTCAGGTCTCGGTTCCCAAATCTGGGATGAGCCCAACAGACACGGATGCTCCCAGGGACACAGGACAGAGGCTCCCAGACTTTGGGATTGCACAGGCAGGAAGTATATCACAAAAAAATGGGGGTGGGAGGTACAGACACACACAGCCCAGCCTGGGACCCTCTTCCCGAAGTTGCTGCAGGGCTCGCTCCTTTGTCTGTCTCTTCATTAGGATGTGAGCTCCGTAAGAGCAGGCATTTTTGTCCAGTACCTAGAATACTGCCTGGCACATATTAGATTCTCAATAATTACCTGTCAAGTGAGTGGAAAAAGGAATGAAGAAATGAAATCTTTGTTTTGCAAGGTAAGGACCTGCAAAAAGACTATCACCATTAGTTTATAAAAGAAAGGTTATTTTAACAACCAAATAATAGGAATGACATAATTTCAGAATAAAGGGCACCGTTTCCCAAATACTTATATATAAATGTATGTAAATGTTACATGTATATAATAGAGTATATACATGTATAAATGAGGGTATCTCAAAAAGTTCACAGAAAGATTCGTATTCCTTCAATTCTATTCTCCACAAACTTTTTGAAGTACCCCTGTGTGTATATAATGCACACATGTAAAAGAAATCAGAAATCAGTGATTTTGGCTGATCAGATTATTAGGTTCAGGAAAAAGGCATGTAAAAACCAAGATGACCGGATCACAGTGGGCTTGGACAAGGACAGTTGGGACATCCAGGACATGACAAATCTTAGAAGGGGAACAGGAGGGAGCCCAATTATGGCAGTGTGTCTAATCGATCCTTAGTGAACTCAAGGACTGAGCCTCACCTTCTCACATAAGTAGCAGTAGGAAGAGCAAATGACACGTACTGAAGGCTTCCTATGTGCCAGGCTCAGTGCTAGGCACCCCCTTTCCCTTTCAAGGTACATAGAATTATCCTCAGGTTACAAAGGTGAAAACTGAGGCTCAGGGCGTAAATAACTTGGCCAGTGAGGTGGGTCTGTCTGATCCTAGTACCTGTGTCCTGTCTCACCCCAACAGGAATGACCCAGGAGGCCACCTCCCATCCTGTGCCCAGAGCTCACCTCCCAAAGGGAGCCCCGCGTGCTGAGGAACTTGTAGATGACGTAGGCAGGGACCAGGACCATGGAGGACAGGGCGATGCCCCACCCGACCCAGTTGGCCCAAAGTGGGAAGATGTAGTCATCATAGGTGAGCGGCTTGAAGTTGATGATGCTGACCACCACCACGAACTGGGGGGAGGGACGGACGGAGGACCGGGAGGGTGACAGAAGGGGGAGACAGGGAGACAGAGGAGAGAGACAGAGAACGGGGAGGGAGGGGCGGCGGGAGAAAGGACGAGAAGCCGAAACAGATGACAGAAATGAGGAGCAGGGAGCAGGACGGACATAGGAAACGGAGAAAATAAGGAAGGAGGGAAAAAGAGAGAGTTGACTCAGAAAGGAGGAACAATTCAAGAACCAAATGATTAAAAGGAGGCGAAGGCAATGGGGAGCAAGAAAAAAAGACGAAGAACGAAAAGGTGACTTTGGAACTGGCACGACAGCCCCCAGGGACTGGCCCCAGGCTTGAGACCCCATGAAGGTGGACGCCCACCCTGGTGTCAGCAGGGCTGAGCCTCCCAAGTGTCCTGTCTGCATGACCAGGGCCTCTAGACCCCAGAGCCTCCTCCCCTAAGAAGCAAATATACCCGCCCCAGCCCCACCCTGGACCCAGTCCCTTCCCAACAGGGCTCTTGGCCACACGCTACACACCAGGAGGAAGGCAGGGCTGACGAACTTCCAGCACAGTCTCCAGTACAGGCCCGGCTTAAACCCCATCATCTGCTGGATGTCGTTGCTGAATCTGTCCACACCTGCACACACACAGGACAGGCCCATCACAGGGGTCCCCACAGATGGGGCGGGCCAGGCCTTGCAGAGCCCTGGACCTCTCCCACAGTGCTCTCTGAGGTCCTGCCCCAGGCAGACGGCAGTGCAGGGGGGCAAGACGCTGACACCCTGGACTTTGGAGACCTGGGGATGGGCAATTCGTGGATGCAGAACAAGGGAGAGGACAAGCTCAAGGACACTATCACCTTTTCTGTGCCACCCCAATTAACCTGCCAGAGGGAACCAGGGCTCAGAATGATGAGGGGACCTGGCCAGGTCACAGAGCCTGGTCAGCCTGACTCCAGCACCTTGCTCTTTCTTCTCGCTCACTATTTCTCTGAAATCAACAACTGTGTATACTGCACGCTCCCTGACTTCAGTCTGACAGAAGAGCTCAGGTTCATGCCGCAATCTCTTTTCAAGCAGAAAAGACTGAAAACAGGACTAACACTTTGGTGTCACGTGGAAAAAAAACGGAACAATTACAGCACATCTGACAGTTTGTATAATGTGCTCTCGATTCGGCTTCAGAATCAGTGGCCAGATAAAATACAGGACACCCAGGTAAGTTCGAATTTCAGATAAGAAATTTTAAAAATTAGTATAAGTATGTCCCATGCAAATTTGGGATATACTTATACTAAAAAATTATTCATCGTTTATCGGAAATTCAAGTTTAGCTGGGCGTCCTGTGTGGTGTTTGCTAAATCTCACAACGCTACTCCAGCATGGATTACGTGACTTAGGGGTCAGCAGCTCCCTATGGGTTCCTCTTTTTTTTTTTTTCCTTTTTGTCTTTTTTACTGACCGGTAACGGGATCGCAACCCTCGGTGCTGCGCCCGCACTGCGCTCAGCCAGTGAGCGGGAACCGGTCTCCACTTGGGATCCGAACCCTTGGCGGGAGCACCGCCACGCTCCCAAGCGGCGCACTCTCCAGTGTGCCACCGGGCCGGCCCTGGGTTCCTCTTTAGAAGTGGACACTGGCTGCCTTTGAGGGCCTTGCAGCCTCCTATCAAAGGGAGTTCATCCAAAGATGAATTGAGGGTTGGGGAGAACTGTTCCTAGTAAACAACTTGCTCAACTCTGGAATTAGCAGGTGGCTCATTTTCCTGAAAATGGAAAGTGCCTCTGCATCTCCAGGTAAAAGGGATCCAGGAACACTGGGGGCGGGGGGGGAGGGTTTCCATGCACTCACATACCATAAAACCAGGAAACTCCGATGGCTTCCATGAGCACAGCAAATAGGATGGAGGTGCCTGCTGCAAAGGTGTCCAGTAGGGTCAGCACATAAATTCCACCCTGCAGCATGGACAGAAAGAGCCTGAGGCCATCTTTAGCTAGAAGTTGTTGTGTCCATCAAATCTTACTGTCCCAGGTCCCACTCACTCAGAACCCTGTTTGAGAGCACGGTGACAAGGTCATAGTGCTATTGTACTGACGTTACATATTTGCATTCTAACAAGGCCTATAGAAGTCACTGGACCTAAGGGTGTGTGTTTCAGCCAGTAAAGAGTGAGATGGGTTTGAAAGAGACTTTTGCAGCCCCTTAAATCAATAAGCAGTAAATAGGGTTGCCTGGAAATCCTCAGGCTCAGGGGTGGAAGGGGAGAACCCTAACCCCAGGTCTAACCCTAGGTGATTGCACACAGGGTTGAAGATGCTGGGCCCCGCCATGGTTCTCCCTGTGCTCAGCCTGGCCCCACCCAGCCCAGCTCCAGGGCTGAGAATGTCTGACTTTGTTGAAATGCAGCCCCAGAAGCTCCAGGAGACACAGGGCCCAGCCCCTCCTCACCTTGGTTATGCAAAACAGGGCCAAAAGGAAGGTGCCTAAGGTGACGGCGAATGTGAAGAGTTTCCGGTGTCTCCTGAGGACCTGGAAGTCGTCTGCTAGGCCTGTGATGACGGCCTCCATGCCTCCCATCTGGAGGGAACCAGGCAGGGTGGGGTGCAGGAATGAGGGTCTTTCTAGACCTCAGTCTCAGGCTCTGAGCTATGTCCGACCTCCCGCAGCCCAGGACTCAAGCACCCTGGCCGTGGCCTTGTCCTTGAGAAATGAGCAGGTCCTCCCAATCCTCTCATTCCATTTCTGTCCTGTTCTCAACCAAACTCAGAACTTAGAAATTATGTGCAAGACGAGGAAGAGTTAACTCCTGTCTCCCCCTAATCCACGGGTACCCTCTCCTGCCCGCTCACTCAGCCTGAGTGGGTGCAGATCAGCTGATGGGAGCGTGAAAGAGGTCAAATGCCAAGACACCCTTGTGATACATTTGCATGTAAATCGGGGCCTTCTGGAAATAACTACTAAAGAAGAGCATCTTTAGGTCTTTAGCTCTTCTTCCAGGCAGCAGTTTTTGAGAAGGATTTTCGGCTGCCTTTCTAATTATTAAGCAAAGTGGTCACCTCAAACTGCAGACCCTCAGAGTCTGAAAGGGTCTCATATCCCACTGCCACAGCACATTTATTCCTTATGAGGCCACTGCCACGGCAGATAAGAAGCAGACAAGCAGCTGCCTCTCTCCCTTCCTCTCCTCTTGGCAGACACTGTTAATCAAAATCCATTTTCTTCCCTATAAGTCTGGAAGCAGCCTCAGAATCCTTCTCAACACCCTGCTCCTGGCAGATCTACCAAGT